GCACAAAATGAGATCAAACTAGCTACAGGCATAAAGGGAAACAAGAAGACCTTTTATAAATACATTAAAAGCAAGAGGAAGACCAAGGACAGGGTAGGCCCACTGCTTAGCGAGGAGGGAGAAGCAGTAACAGGGAACTTGGAAATGGCGGAGATGCTCAATGACTTCTTTGTTTCGGTCTTCACCGAGAAGTCTGGAGGTGTGCCTAACGTAGTGAATACAAGCAGAGAGAGGGTAAGTTTAGAAGATAGGATACACAAAGAACAAGTTAAAAATCACTTAGGAAAGTTAGATGTCAGCAAGTCACCAGGTCCTGATGAAATGCATCCCAGGATACTCAAGGAGCTGATAGAGGAGGTATCTGAGCCTTTAGCTATGATCTTTGAAAAATCATGGCAGACAGGGGAGATTCCAGAAGACTGGAAAAGGGCAAATATTGTGCCCATCTATAAAAAGGGGAATAAGAACAACCCAGGAAACTACAGACCGGTCAGTTTAACGTCTGTCCCAGGGAAGATAATGGAGCAGGTAATTAAGGAAATCATATGCAAACACTTGGAAGGTAATAAAGTGATAGGGAATAGCCAGCATGGGTTTGTGAAGAACAAGTCATGCCAAACTAATCTGATAGCTTTCTTTGATAAGATAACGAGCCTTGTGGATAAGGGAGAAGCGGTGGATGTCATATACCTAGACTTTAGTAAGGCATTTGATACGGTCTCGCATGATATTCTTATTGATAAACTAGGCAAATATAACTTAGATAGGGCCACGATAAGGTGGGTGCATAATTGGCTGGATAACCGTAGTCAGAGAGTTGTTGTTAACGGTTCTAAATCCTGCTGGAAAGGGATAACAAGTGGAGTTCCTCAAGGGTCTGTTTTGGGACCCATACTGTTCAACATCTTCATCAATGATGTAGATATTGGGATAGAGAGTACGCTTATTAAGTTTGCAGATGATACCAAACTGGGTGGGGTTGCAACTTCTTTGGAGGATAGGGACATAATTCAAAATGACCTTAGCAAGTTAGAGAAATGGTCAGAGGTAAACAGGATGAGGTTTAATAAAGAGAAATGCAAAGTGCTCCACTTAGGAAGGAACAATCAGTTCCATACATACAAGATGGGAAGCGACTGTCTAGGAAGGAGCATGGCAGAAAGGGATCTAGGGGTCATAGTGGACCACAAGTTGAATATGAGTCAACAGTGTGATGCTGTTGCAAAAAAAGCAAATATGATTCTAGGTTGTATCAACAGGTGTGTTGTAAGCAAAACTCGTGAAGTCATTCTGCCGCTCTATTCTGCACTAGTGTGGCAAGTCCACACTATTTTCCTCACTCACGGAATAAAGACATGACTGATCTTATTTTATTCAAATCCTTAATATTCCATAAGAAGCTTAGCACTTCAAATCAAGAGAAGTCAGGCAATGGAGTTATTGAAATGAAGCAAGTTAAAGTATCACGTATTATAATATCTAACAGATAAGGTTTTAGGAGCTTTCCTTGCAAAAAAACATTGATAAGGTTTATTAGCCAGCCTGCTAACAAGATAACATGCATTTGACATTTAAACTAGTTTTCCCACTAATGATTTACTGTGTCCATTTGAAAGTAATCATCTTTGCCTAGTTTTCTTAGGAAATTCATTACTAAAATCATCAGCTTTGGTGCTGTGTTCAAGAAAACATGCAACTTCCATTCTCTCCACTGCATTTAATCATCCTAAACACAAAAAATGGAAGCGCACACCCCTCTAGTAGATGTGAATGAAGCTGAAAAACATGTCATTGCTACTTCAGTCCTAAACCTTATTTTAATTACTGATTTACCATGGTTTCCAACTATATATATGATGATTTAATGAGGTCTTCAGAGCAAAGGCTTGTGCACAAAGACTGTCACTGACCCTTTCTTCCTCCAGCATACAGAGTTACGGGACAGCTCCTGGTCTGGAACATCCATTTGATTTCTTTGAAGTAGTTGGCAGATGCAGAACAAGGCTGTCTACACCATCTCAGCATAATTTACATGACTTGGGGTGTGAATCAACCATTCCAGAGACACAAAAGTTTTGTTGACATAAGCGCTTGTGTGCCCAGAGCTACATCTGTTGGAGAGAAGCTTCACCTCTCGTGGAGGTGTTTTTTTAATGCTAACAGGGCATAGGGCATCTTCACCGCAGACGTAGCCTCAGACCAGTGTTGTCAGTTGGGTGACAACCTTGTCTCCATAATTAGTTTATAGAGCAAAAGCTTATTGACTTTCATGGCAGAGGTTAATTTTCTTGCCTTTTGCCTGGGGGCAGAATGCTGTATACACGGTCTTCTCTAAGGGTAAGATTTTATCTACTTTGTTTTACTCACCTAGGAGCAAAGTGATGAATTGTATTTATTAGCTTCACCCTGATTGGTCTCTTACAACAATGTTAACTCTTTGTGCTAAACAATCTAGTCCAATCTGTACATTGGTGTGACACTGTACTTTTCCTAAACCTGGGGAGCTTTGCGTAAGCTCGAAAGCTTGTCTTTTGCAAACATAAAAGTTGTTCCAATAAAAATATATTCCCTCACCCACTGTGTGTCAATAAATCTACAAATATGTTTAAAATACTTACCTCTGCGATTCATCGTGAGAGTTCATCACTTTAATTACAACCTAACTCATTTATCTCCACCACTGGATTTCTGTCTTTTGTGCCCCTTCCTTTTAGACTCTAATCTCTGTTATTTGGGGGTTTACTTAAGAGTCCAGTTGCATTTGTGCCACGCAAATAATAAAAATAACCATTTCATAGTTTTCTATGTAAAATAAAAGGTGTCATGTAGATTGGATTTTTTGGGAGGGGATAAAGGGAAGAGGCGATTCATTCAACTGCTCTTTGTACCTCCCTTTCCCTTGATATTCCAAGCTTAGCAAGTTCTCCCTGGATGGTGAATATTAATGTCAACAGCAAACTAGCACCAGGGCTGATTTATACAAGTCCAGTAGACTTTCAATAATCCGGAACCTTTGGGACCTAGGTGGTGCCAGATTATTGGATATGCCGGACTATCAGGAGGTACTATACTGTGTGTGTGAGTGTGTGCGCGCGCGCACGCGCACGCACACACCCACAAAATATATATATACTGTATATAAAGTGCTTTTAACCCTTTTTATTGTAGCACAAGCACTGTCCAGCATCACACAAGGCCAGTGGCAGACTGACTCGGTCCTATCCAGTTTCACTTGGTTCAGCTGCTGACGCTGCTGCCTTGTGACTCTTTTTTGGCCAAAGCTCACTCACTAGGCTCTTGCCATTTTGATGCCGGACTATTGGGAGTGCCGTACAAGTGGATGCTGGACTATTGGAGTTTTACGGTATGTAGCAAAATGGAAGGCAGATATGATGGGTTGCTTGATAAATACAGAACTGGTTTAACTGAGAATTTTATGTTCAAGTGATCACTGGTTGCTTGCTACTGGTAACAGAAGTTGGGTGCAATGACTGTTACATGAGTCAGGTTATTAAATTAGTACCTGTAAAACTGGTGTTCTACACATTCAGTTTTGCCTGGTTAGAAAACCACTCAAGAGAAAACATGTGGTGTGATAAAATACAGGACAGACACCCGAAACACAAGTCATTGTAACAGGCCTACTGGATCCCACGGTACAAGACAATCAGGAAAAACAAAATCCTAGGATAAACCTTTTCTAATTGTCACCTTATGGGACGCCCACTGTAATTCATGCCAAAGTTTCACACAAAAACCTACTGCTTTCTTCCTATTGATGTTTTGTATGCTCCATTTTTGAGGACATTTCTTTTTCCTTTTTAAAAACACAACGCCCCTTCCCTGGAAAATAGATCCAACACAATATACTCACATTAAATTAAACGTTTTTTTATGGGCGGAGCAGCAAATATTGATTACTACAAAACAGTGTCTTCAAGCTGGGATTTCCAAATGGACCTGAATCCCCATTATAATCCAATTGGATTTGGGTGCCTGGGGCCTTGAAAATCCTAGACAGAGTACTTTAAAAATAGAACTGCATAGATATGTAATAATCAAAGCTGTGAGCTTGTAAAGGAATTTTTCACTTCAAATAATGAAATTTGCAGTACAACAAAACACAGCTTACTGGGAACCATAGCAAAAGAGGAAAGCTGTAAATGTCAATGTAATTCTGCAGCCACGGCTGCATCACTAAGAATGAAAAAGGAACTACCATGTCTTTTAAGCCCACCTGTGCAAAACTACTTTTCCTCTTCATAAATACTCGTGTGCGGAAATGGTACAGGTTAGGTACGGCACCCTCGGAACCTGAACGGTCCTGAACAAGGGAGTTCACTGCACATAGGGATATCAGACCATGTCCTTCCCTGGGACTCCCCTCTTGGCTGCTGGAGGGGCTGCTCCGCACCTCCAGCTGCTGCTGGGGCCACCCCGAGCCCCACTTGCAGCCAGTGAGGCTCTGCGCCCCCAGTCGCTGGTCTTGCTCCACTTCAAGCTCGCTAGCTGGGCTCCCTGCCTTAAGGCCACTGGCTCTGCAGGCTGCCAAACTGGCTGAGATTCCAGCCACTGGCAACTTCTGTGGCTGGGGCTCTCGGGCCTAGTAACATCCGTGGTCCTCCTGGCCCATGGATGTTGCTGGACCAGATTGTCCTATACCATAGAGGTTCAACTTCTAGGTTTCAATCTGGGAAAAATAAGTTTTTTCCCAAGTTTGGAAAAAAATTGTTAGGTTATGTTGAAAAATGTTTTGGTACATTTCATGAAGAATACAATAGTGACTAATCACTTAGTTAACATCTGAGTTCTTAAATACCCTCCTAAATCAGGGTCTTAAAGTGCATGGTTAAGTTTAAATAAATACTCAGGAACATTTCAGTTGGATCACTGTGATCTTAAAGTTGGCTATACACCTAAATACTGAGTCCAGGCCTAAGTAAATAAAACTAAGATAAATTGTAAATTAAAAATGGAAGGAACACAGTATGACAACTTACTAAATAGACATCCAAAACTGAAGCATTATCGTTTTCCATTTCCAGTGTGCTCTGTTCTGAAGTCAAGTAGATAGCACTGTCTTCTAAAGTGAACGTTGAACTCGAAGGTAACCCTTTACTGGAAATACAGGGGGGAATATAATGGACACAAAAAGCAAGTTACATAGGGGAAAAAATTACAAACTTCAGCTCTTATGTTTGTATATTTTACCTCCCCCTCACCTCCCGCCACCTCTCCACTCCTTCCCTTCTTTGGATCTATTAATTTTTAAGCTGACAAGTGCAAACATGGATGATTCCTGGTTAGTGAAAGTACTCACACATGACTAATGTGCCTTATCCACATTTTTCTATTTATTCGGTTGCATTAAATAAAGTGCTATCAGGAAGAAGTGAAGGCCAAATTCTGCTCAAAGTTACATTAGGATAAATCTGGAGTAACTTCACTGTCTTCAAAAGACGTACTGCAGTTTTCCCCTGATATAACTAGGAGAATAATTTACTGCAGTTCATTTAATTTTTAAATTAAACTCAATGATTTCAAACAATTTTAAATAAAACTCAATAATAGCACCCCTGCATAACATGAAAGGCTAAGCATCCCAAAATGTATTATAGTCCCTACTTCAAATTAGAAGGATAAGAAAAATCTGATATTTTAGCCTCCCACCAATATGCTCAGGTAATATATTATAATGTTGTTCCTGTTTCACTCAAACTGAATTAATCTCATTACTTTCACTATGCAGACTATTTATTATACAGAAGCGCCACAGCTTTCTGCATTTGGCTTAAGATAATGTGTAAGGGAACATCCATAACAAGATTGCACCCACACATAATTCAACATAACTGAAGAGCAGTGATAGACGGACCATATTGAATTCTGACATGCAAATAGAGGATTATTCAGGGGAAAATTTTCAAAAGCATTTCTCCATGCAAAAAAAGTAGTAAGAAAAATGTGCTAGTGTGTGCGATTAATGTAGTGGTGCAGAGCCATTTTTTTATCTCTTAGTGTAATTATCTAATTTGAATGAATAATCACGGGGAGGAAATATGAAACCAAAAGGTGGATTTTTGGGCCTTTCTTTTTAAAAGTTATCCTTTAAGGCTGGGATCTTCAAAGAGGAGTTTACAAGAGTGACATGCCCACTCCTCACCGAAAGTTAATGGCAGTGTGGTGCCAAAATCTCAGCCTAAATATTTAGGTCTAAAATTTCAAAGATACAAGCATCTTTCTTCATATACAAGCATCCTAGGCCAATCAGCTATGTGATGACACTCCAGAACGGAGCGAAGAAGGAATAATTTTTTCCTCTCCTGGAGAACTTTCCATTTTACAGTTTGACTATTTGGGTTGTGTGCTGGGGACAAGTGTTGTTCCTATGTATATGCCTAAGAAAACCCACATCACACTAGACAAGTATTAGTCATTGCACTAACACTAGCAATAACCATTTCACTATTAATATCTCCTTTACCAAATCAGTAGAATTAATGCCCAAAATATAAAATAAATACAAACAGAATACAAAACAGAAAGGCACTTGATGCCATACTAACAGTAGCAACATACTATTACCATAATCTATTACAGGCACTCCCCGGGTTACGTACAAGATAGGGACTGTAGGTTTGTTCTTAAGTTGAATCTATATGCAAGTCAGAACTGGCATCAGCCGCTGCTGAAACTTATCAGTTTCAACAGCGGCTGAATCTGGACACCAGTTGCGACTTACATACAGATTCAACTTAAGAACCCCAGGCGTCCCCAAGTCAGCTGCTGCTGAAACTGATCAGCAGCTGATTCCAGGAAGCCCGGGGCAGAGCAGCTCTGCCTCGGGCTTCCTGTAGTCAGCCGCTGG